ATGCCGTATGATATCCTTGCTTTGGGGACCGCATATTTTTCACACTCACTGGGCCTTGCGAGTGCGCGTCGACCCCGCGAATGTCGAAGCTTTATTTCGGTAATCATGTGGAATTTTTGAACAGGCCGGCCCATCACGAAGGTCTGTCACCTGCTTTCGAATGTCCGTGTTCAGCTTATGCAGAAACCATCAGTTCCCAGTTGCATCACGTGGAGGAACGGACCTAACCACCTGACGATTGCCCTGCTGTTCTGATTATGAATGTATAGTATAGTTCGCTGCGGACGGTTGGGCGTGTCAGGCGGGATGAGTTTGGCGCGGTGCCAAACCCGTTCTCCACCAGTTGTTAAAGCGAGCAAGTGATATGACTGTATCATATCGTTCGTATTACTCGTTTTCTACCACTTTTTGTCGCATGCGCGCTTCAACAAGAAGGTGGAGAACGGCTTTGACGACGTGACACATTCACACTGCCTGACAACCGTCCGCAGCGAACTAGAGTAAAGTCGTCATCCGGGCAGTTGATTATCCGGCCCAAGTGGTGCGACGCGGCGTCACGATCGCTGCGATCAGCTGTTTCCACCCTAATTTAGCAATTTTCTCCCTAGTTTTCACTGTTTTTGGCTGTTTTTTTCAAGGTCATTTGCTTTATTGCCTAGTACATCGAGGCGTGAAGTCTTTTTTGTTGTTGTAATGGAGTGTTTTTCGCGATTTTTAGGTGTTTGTTTAATTGTTTGTTTAATCGTCTAATTGTTCGCAAAAGTTAGAAAAAACTCAATCATAATTTATCTTGTGAAGACAAGGAACAGTTAACCTTGAAAAAAACAGCCAAAAACAGTGAAAAGTAGGAAAAATGACTAAACCAGGCCGGAAACGGCAGATCGCCGCACACAGTTCCTACAAACGCGGTCGCTGCTGCAGCCGCGTCTGCGGCCCCTTGACGACCGCCCTAATCAATCTGCCCGATGACGCAGTGTTTATATGTGTAAAGAGTGTGGCCCATAAATGAGCATATGTGGCGAAAATTCTGAGGTATATGTGGTGAAGGTCGATGAAGTTGCTCCCTCATCGAGTTGATTTGTACAGGATACTGCCTCATGAAGTGGATAGCCTTCTGCTGCGTGGTCTGTTTTGCCTCGTTCTAATAGCTATCGATCAGCATGAAAATTTCAGGAAGGCTCTATAAAAACGGCGATGAGCGATATCTAACAACACAGAACGCGGTGAGCTCCTATTCACGTTGTTAACTTCTTAATGGAACATGGGGAAAGATACATATACGGTAGGGAGCAGAGCAAAACTTAAATAACCAAGGAAGGATGGTAGGTTGCAATTGTCCGCTTAAAGGCTCAAGGCTGATGCTGCAGTTGTTGTGTGTGTGTGTGTGTGTGTGTGTGTGTGTGTGTGTGTGTGTGTGTGTGTGTGTGTGTGTGTGTGTGTGTGTGTGTGTGTGTGTGTGTGTGTGTGTGTGTGTGTGTGTGTGTGTGTGTGTGTGTGTGTGTGTGTGTGTGTGTGTGTGTGTGTGTGTGTGTGTGTGTGTGTGTGTGTGTGTGTGTGTGTGTGTGTGTGTGTGTGTGTGTGTGTGTGTGTGTGTGTGTGTGTGTGTGTGTGTGTGTGTGTGTGTGTGTGTGTGTGTGTGTGTGTGTGTGTGTGTGTGTGTGTGTGTGTGTGTGTGTGTGTGTGGTGTGTGTGCAAGGTGAGCTGACAGGGGGGAGGGAAGGGGGGACGGGTACGCAGCTGCAGCAGCATGTCACTTTCTTTGGTCAAAACGCACGAGAACAGGGCTGGAGGGTAGTGCTACCCGTGTGCCGTCTCCATATTCTGGCCGCGCTGTCGCACGACCAGCCACACGCCTAACCATAGCCAACCGCGCGCTTTGTCTGCCTCTCTCACATCCTGTTGTTCTCGACCGCTGAGTGCGTGTTTCGCTGTTTAAGCTAAGCATCGACGCACACGCACGGCAAGGATTTTCCTCAGAGGTGAGGGTACCATTTGTCATTAAATAAGATCTGCAGGACGCCAAAAAAGCCAATTTGATTATGGCGCGCACCAACAAAGTCCACTTCGCACAAGGTAGCAATGGGACGACCAATAAGTAAATGCATTTTTTCGGCGTCCTAATTGTTCAGTCTTCAAATGTGACTCAGAGCTACGACTTGTCCAGAAGTTAGTCTCTAGTTTGGTTTGACCCCCTGAACACGAATACCACATTCGCCCATCATGGAACCATCGGGCGCTTGCGCCATAAGTGCAGGTGCTGAAATCCTCAGATCGCCGGATTAGCTGATAACTCGCGATCGGGGTGTTCTTGCCCTTGAGCAAGCATCCCACATTCGTTTGGCACGAAACCACTTGGCGTCCACACCGCAGGCGCCGGCGGCACGATAATGTTTATGCCGGCCCCTGTGGCACGTTTCCCAGGCGATTCCGTCCCCATCAAAGCGGAGCGTTAAAGCACTGGGAGCAAATTGTCGGACCTACTGAATCAAATATATGTCTTGCATCCGATAGTCACACTGACAAGGGAGGTCTTTCAGGTCGTGGCGCGCTTTTTGGAAATGGTTTGTTGCTTGTTGTAGGGGTCCATACAAGGATCACAAAAATGGGTTTCATTTTTGCTATGCGTTTCTGGGAGGTCAAAACTGAGTGAAAAGAATTTGACAAGAATGGGC